TTGGATCACAAATCTCCTCAAGGAACTCAAAGTTAGCTTTACTCATACTCTCACAATATATTGTGACAATGTTGGAGCTACCTACTTATGTGTCAATCCAGTATTCCACTCGCGCATGAAGAAGCGAGCTGACGCGAGATCTCTCTCGCGTTTCTTCGTCCCCTTCTTTTCTAGCATATCTGAAAAGGTGAGAAAGGAGGAGGATATGGGGGAACACTTGAGAAGATATGATGTGTGTGAGTGAGGTATGTCATTAATAGCTACTACACATACGACGCAATATTGTGAAATTTAATATTAATATATATTCAATTTCTAATATATTCTAAGAAGACTTTGAAATAATTGGAATTATATTTGTCTTTTTCTTTATTTTTTCTTGGGTGACGAATGTTGCACTATCAGCAACTATTAATTTGGGCTGTTGTTTATTGTAGTCGAGAGAACATACTACGGGCCATCTCTTCCGCTCAGGTCTCCATCACATCGCCGTGAGACTCGAGAGGAAACATGGACATCAGGTTACCGCGGTTGAACTTGAGCCTCTTGGCCTCGTTCCTGGAGATACGATACGAGTTGATGAGCACCTCCACCGGCATGCCTCGGAAAACCGATGCCTTCCCGACGATCTGGCTCACCATGGGATTGTCGTTGGTCTTGAACGACACCCACTCGTAATGCTCGCTCCGGGTCTTTGTTATCACCACGAAATGCTGTGGGATCACCAACAGCTGACCTTGACGGAGCTCGCCATCGAAGACGGTCCGCCCTCCGTGCCCCACCACCTGCATCTGGCAGCTTCCATTTAGGGCGTACGCTATGCCGTGAGTGTTGATGTTCCAATACGGTGCGCCGACGGTGTTCTGCGGGCAGACAAAGTCACATTACTCGATCGACACTTTTGAGATCATATGCGTCGAAGATGACCTTACCGGGCGGAGAGATCCCCTCACGGCACTCATTTGCATGAATCTTAGCACGGGGAACTTGCGACTGTTGAGTACGGTGATCCTTCCGGCGTTCGGATCGTATTGGTCAGAGAGCGTCGTGTCCCCGATGTTCTGCTTGTAATCCATCGTGCAGAATGCCTCTTCCAATCCATTCGATTCACGTCGCCTTATATCGTCGCCATCTTGCCTCTCCTGCTCTTCGTTCCTCTGTAATGGCTGTAGCAGCTGTAGCCCTCTGTCGACGCGGACTATCTCACCCCTTCCGTCGTCTGGATTCTGGATTTTCCTCACCACCTCCTTGTCGACGCTGAGCGCCTCCGCCAGTAGCTCAAGCTCGAAACCATTAAGGAGGCTGACCCCCTTTTGCTGTTCTAATCTCTCTTCTGTATGTGCACCTTGTTGTGCTCGTCTCTCCCTTCCAGCTAGTAGAAACTGCCATTGAAGACGTGAAGAATATGTTTGCTCACCAAATTAGTATGCTCTGTTTGTTGCAGTAGCGAATTGGTTGGTGGATTCATCAGGACTCTCACCCTGTGCTGACGATCCAACTGGTTAGCACTGCTGCTCGTGTAGGAGACCGTAATGGCTACGACAGGTGCTTCGCCGTTGTTGTAGCACCAATGAGCGACTCCAGCGGGCAACGCGATGATGTCTCCCTCGTGAAAGGAATGGATCCTCTGGTGTTCGTCTCCCCCCTCCCGTTGCTGTTGGAACGATTGGTACGTCTCTGGGCAACCAGGGATCACTGTTCCGGCAATACCCCTTCCTGCATGCAGGGACCAGCGACGACGAACTGTCACACCATAGTCAAACAGGACGACTGATGATTAACACGACCGAGGACAAGTGATGATCGAGCCTTGCACGACGTAGACGAGGCTGGGGGCATTGGAGTAGGAAGGCAAGAGAAGGCCCCTCGGCAGGATGGTACGGCGATGAACGGCGACACCCGCACACCGGAACTGCTCGTGGTTCTGGTCGACGTACTCGGTGAAGCCAGCTTCTGAGGGCACGCGCATCGTGGGCTCCAGAGCGCTAAGCCTCTCGATTCGGCATCGGCTCCCCCCCGGTTGCCCTGTTGTTTCTTGCTGCCCGAAGCCAAGCTGCGCCTGAGCGCTGTGGAGCAGGAGTAGTGACACGCAAAGAGGGAAAGAGAGCATGATGAGTGCAGAGCTTGCCATGCATCAGGGTGGGTGCGAGGAAGGTTCTTATAGTCTCCCGATGTGGTTGGTCACGGGCATCTCTGGAACGCTTCGCTCGCGTGTCGCTGCACCAGCTCGAAGGGAGGCACAGGTGGCCCGGGTTGGAAGAAGGCGAGGACATATGTTGAGAGAGCCCAATCGCTTGCTGCGATGCAAACAGTGGGTTGGGACAGCGGCATGCAGTTGGATGGTAGCGGTGAAGTGGTGCTTGCGGTGGTCTTCAGCAGCTACAGTGCGTTGGGTTGCTTCCCTGCAGCACCCTGCACAGCGTTTGCACCCGTTAAAGAATGGAACCGATCCAGACGAGACCAGACGAGACCAGACCACAAAACCTCCACCTTTGAGTCGGCACATGGATTGCCACTGTAGAAAACCTGGCCATGGAATCAACAGCGGAAGAGCAGCCAAGTTGTATGTTGAAATGCCTCGCCAACTCTCTTGTAAACTTGCAAGAAGAAACAAACCTAGCCACCACTATGAGGAAGAAACCATACACAATTCACCATAACTTCCAAGAGTCAATTCTTGCAAGCATCAAACAGAAGATATCTGCGCTTATAAGAGAGATTGAGGAGTGTAGTAATATTAATTTGAGCTCAAACAATTTCATAAACCCAATTCTCATGGGCCTCGAGATACACACACTAATGGTGAAGCAGCTTCAGTATCTGCTGGAGATCTGTGGGAAGGAACAAACCGTGGTGTGGACTTGCAACAATTAAGAAACAATATATTTCTGATGATAATGAAAAGCAAATATAAAAACGAAAAGAGAGGAAAAGAAGAACAATGATTCATGGAACATTGCTGTGATCAAAATGTACCAGAGGTCGGTTTAAGCAGATTGTAAGTACAACATATTGCACCCACATTAGCATTTCTTCAAAAAGATTAACATTGAGATAGTCAAATATGAACCAAATCTAACAGTGAAACAAGTGCCATATAATGGTTTTTGACAAACGAAATTTAACCATCCAGATGATGATTCAATATACGGCAAGAGGATGATGATATAACATAATGATGGAGAAAGGAAGAATAAAGTTCAAACAAGAAAAGAAAAAGAATCAAACATTGGAAGATGCAGAAGTGAACAAAAATCAGCTTTCAGAATAAAACGCCGCTTTGAGGCTTCAGTTCATAAGAAGATGATCCTTCAGCTTTCTGACCATTTGGATCATAACTATTTGAAAAGAATCCTGGTAATGCAAGGGAGGTATCGACCAAACGAAGCCAAACATTTCCCTCTGTCGGTTCGGGCAAAACAACAGTCTCCAAATTATTGCTGGCATTAAAGCATATAAATAAGTCACCGCCATTTGAATTTAACATGTCAAAGTTCTTTTCTGACTTCAGAGCCAAAGCCAAAAATTTGCATGTTGGGTCATCCCATTTTGGCTCAGATTGATTACTTCCAAACAAAACAATGTTTTCTACTTTAAGAAAGTGCTTGCTCTGAAAAATATCACCTCTTGGGATTCTAAGTGAACCCAGATATGCAATAAATTTTGTAATTTGCTTACTGAAGCCGGTTCCTAGGCTATCCCAATTGATAGGCTTCCTGTCATCATACAATGGAGAACCACCAGTGGAGTAGCCACACTCATCCCCCATATTTAGAACAGGAACACCGAGTGACACAAACAAGACAAACAAGAAATTCCGTATCTGCTTAAGACGTGTCTCAAGGACAGTATTATTGTTTGTTGGACCTTCGTCGCCACAGTTCCAGCTTAATTCCGAAGCAAGCTCAGCAGTGCTGAATTTGACCAAATCAACAAGAGGAAGTCCAAAGTTCTTTGCGACAAAATTAAAAGAAAATGCTGGGCCCGCGGAAGAAAATAGATCACCACTGCCACAAAGTCTAGTAGCAAGATCGCTAAGGAGCCCTTCACCTCTCAAAAAGTTCTTTGCATCACTGCAAAATCTCATGTTCATCTCTGCCCATGCTTTCCAATGAGGAAATTGGATTTCCATGTATGACATGTCAAGCGGGGACCAGCAGTCTGCGACAATCTTTGTCCTTGAAAGTACCGGATCAAATGCTATAGCTTCCACCAAAGGTGGGCGAGATAAATGATCCCCATTCTGTCCTCTAGCCATTGAAGAAGAATTAATAAAGCAAAAGCCATCTACATGGAACTCGACTACCCAATGCCGGAGGCTGTCTATTATTAATTGCTGAACAATGGGGTTATTGCATTTCAGGAGACTATTGGTTCCTGATCCTACATTTTTGTCAACAATGCAATAGGAAGAACTATCAATACCTCGGAATGATATCACATGGGAGTCCGCATCTCCACCTTCAACACTGAGTAAAAACAACCTCCATCAAGACCTCTATACATTCGGAATGTAGCGTCTTGATCATCCCCTTCAAAGAATTGATTGCTGAAGCAGCATTATGTTCACGTCCATATTCATCCATTAACGAGAAGAAATGATAGGGGAAGTAAGGGCCTTTGTTAACATCAAAGGGAAATATTGGCTCTAGCAGGATTGCATTGACACCAAGTTCTTTAAAATGCTCTACTTTCTCACTCACACCACCGAAAGTCCCAGCAACATCTTCTGGGAGACCGATCGAGTTATCTCTTGTGAACTGCCCCACATTTAATCTGTAAACCACGAGCTTCTCTGTTGGCAACCGCGGATGAACATCACCACTCCAGTCAAATATAGGTTCTATTTCCAAAGAACCAAGATACTTGGTTGGAGTCATTGTATCACTCTGAACAGAAAGAAGATTTCGAACCATTTTGGCATACGGATCCAACAGCACATGCTGCATATTGAATCCACCTCTTTATCTACTGGTCCTTTGCAACGATAACCGTAGCTCACATAGTCCACGATGCTCTCCATCGAGACGTGCCAGATATCACCTGTACGATTGACATAAGGATCCAGTTCGATCTCTAAAGATGGAACCTCTGTTTTCCCTTCATAGAGGCAGAGGAAAACGCTCTCAGCATTCCTCAAAAACAAAGAGAAATTGACCATTCCATCATCGGAAACAGAAGCACCCAAGGACGCAGGATATCCTGGGCCAAAACCCACAGGCACACAAAATCTTGTCTTTCTGTGCGTTTTAATCTCCGAGGCAACAACACCAGCATCAGAACACAAATGCAGCATAAATGATAGATAAAAGGGAGCCTTTGCTGAATCAAAATCCAGATCCAACGTATACCTTCCAGAATAATTGCAAACGAAGGGCATTATGACGGCACCAATCCCATTTTCAATAAATACTGTGTTATGTTATGAGATATTTTAGTTTGTTGCTTCTTGGTAACAATTGTAACATTTAGTACATCATCAGATTTTTGTTTGCAACAATGCTGGGTTGCCTTTTATTCTTCTAGCTTCAACAAAATTACTTTTTAATTTTTCATCGAATTCCAAATAGTTGACACTGTTAGTAAACTTTTGAGCTATATTTGATCTTGTCCAATTGTTTCTAAACAGTAGATTATGGGTCCCAAACCAAGGCTTAGTTTTAAACTGCTGAATATGTCATTATGAGCATTGACAGTCCATTAGAGCCAAACTTTGTAGTTCAGATTTATTGACACTTGAAATCCTTAGACAATCATTTTGGACTGTAACTATTATTGGCCTTGGTGGGTTTAACTGATTACTCTGTGGACTATATGGCTTGGCACTTTTAATTGATCAACTAGACAAGATTTAGTCAACATCCTGAGAAAAATTTGGCAACACTATAGTTTTGTGGAAGATCCATTTAGCTGCCTTCTCTAGAATAGATATTATGCGTATGGGGTATTCTTCTGTATTTAATCTGGATGTCTTCTCTGTTACACTTGCTCTCTAGTCAATTCATAGTATTCTCAGATTAGTCAAGGGACTCCCAAGTATGGGCCAGGTTTCCTGAATCTCATATATGATGTTGTCTCGGCATAATATGGTCCAAGTTTTCCATCATAATGACCTAATTATCTTCTTGAATAAAATTTCTTTTAACTTCTTCTACTTCTAAAGTGGAAACTAACTCATAATCTGAGTTATGCTTGAACTACCAATACAATGTAGAATAAAGCTTTCTCCATGGTTCATGACTATTAGTAAAACAACAGTTTCCATTGGTGTTTAAATACTTGTTTTCGTTATTATGATTGCACTGTTGCTCCTCCTAATCTTTGGTTGAGCATGTCAAATAGGAAACCAAATCTAACAGTAAAACTAGTGCCATATAATGGTTTTTGACAAACGAAATTTAACTATCCAGATGATGATTCAATATACAGCAAGAGGATGATGATATAACACAATGATGGAGAAAGGAAGAATCATGTCTTGCAAAATATACAATTAAGAAAGTTCAAACAAGAAGGGAAAAAGAATCAAACATTGGAAGTGAACAAAAATCAGATTTCAGAATAAAACCATGCCGCTTTGAATTAAAAGCTGAAGTTTGGAATATGCTACTGATAAAGAAGAGCCTTAACAAAATAGTTGGTTGTGTGGTAACACATAAAAATATGGACATATCATAAGATGTATTGCAAAAATCATACATTAAGAGACTGTACAAAAACAAGCATGCGAAATAAAATGGTTTAGAAACATTTGCACTTATTCAGTGCTAACAGAAAGGATACTTCATTTTATTGATAACAGGAGACAATAGATACAGCAAGAAACTCCTGCTGTTATATAAGACAATAAGGCACAAAGTTCAATCCACAGTGGCTTCAAATAAGGCACAACTATGAGGCTTCAGTTCATAAGAAGATGATCCTTCAGCCTTCTGAACATTTGGATCACAACTATTTGAAAAGATTCCTGGAAATGCAAGGGAGGTATCGACCAAACGAAGCCAAACATTTCCCTCTGGCTGTTCGGGCAAAACAACAGTCTCTAAATTATTGCTGGCGTTAAAGCATATAAACAAGTCACCGCAGTTTGAATTTGACATGTCAAAGTTCTTTTCTGACTTCAGAGCCAAAGCCAAAAACTTGCATGTTGGGTCATCCCACTTTGGCTCAGATTGATTACTTCCAAACCAAACAATGTTTTCTACTTTAAGAAAGTGCTTGCTCTGAAAAATATCACCTCTTCGGATTCTAAGTGAACCTAGATATGCAATAAATTTTGTAATTTGCTTACTGAAGCCTGTTCCTAGGCTATCCCAATTGATAGGCTTCCTGTCATCATACAATGGAGAACCACCAGTGGAGTAGCCGCACTCATCCCCCATATTTAGAACAGGAACACCGAGTGACACAAACAAGACAAACAAGAAATTCCGTATCTGCTTAAGACGTGTCTCAAGGACAGTATTATTGTTTGTTGGACCTTCGTCGCCACAGTTCCAGCTTAATTCCGAAGCAAGCTCAGCAGTACTGAAGCTGACCAAATCAACTAGAGGAAGTCCAACGTTCTTTGTCACAAAATTAAAAGAAAATGCTGGGCCCCTGGAAGAAAATAGATCACCACTGCCACAAAGTCTAGTAGCAAGATTGCTTAGGAGTCCTTCACCTCTCAAAAAGTTCCTTACATCACTGCAAAATCTCATGTTCATCTCTGCCCATGCTTTCCAATGAGGAAATTGGATTTCCATGTATGACATGTCAAGCGGGGACCAGCAGTCTGCGACAATCTTTGTCCTAGAAAGTACTGGATCAAATGCTATAGCTTCCACCAAAGGTGGGCGAGATAAATGATCCCCATTCTGTCCTCTAGCCATTGAAGAAGAATTAATAAAGCAAAAGCCATCTACATGGAACTCGACCACCCAATGCCGGAGGCTGTCTATTATTAATTGCTGGACAATGGGGTTATTGCATTTCAGTAGACTATTGGTTCCTGATCCAACATTCTTGTCAACAATGTAATAGGAAGAACTATCAATACCTCGGAATGATATCACATGGGAGTCCGCATCTCCACCTTCAGCACTATGAGTAAAAACAACCTCCATTAAGACCTCTATACCTTCGGAATGTAGCGTCTTGATCATCTCCTTCATAGAATTGATTGCTGAAGCAGCATTATGTTCTTGTCCATATTCATCCATTACCGAGAAGAAATGATAGGGGAAGTAAGGGCCTTTGTTAACATCAAAGGGAAATATTGGCTCTAGCAGGATTGCATTGACACCAAGTTCTTTAAAATGCTCTACTTTCTCACTCACACCACCGAAAGTCCCAGCAACATCTTCTGGGAGCCCGCTCGAGTTATCTATTGTAAACTGCCCAACATTTAATCTGTAAACCACCAGCTTCTCTGTTGGCAACTGCGGATGAACATCACCACTCCAGTCAAATATAGGTTCCATTTCCAGAGAACCAAGACACTTGGTTGGAGTCATTGTATCACCCTGAACAGAAAGAAGATTTCGAACCATTTTGGCATACGGATCCAACAGCACATGCTGCATATCAAATCCACCTCTTTTCTCTACTGGTCCTTTGCAACGATAACCGTAGCTCACATAGTCCTCGATGCTCTCCATCGAGACGTGCCAGATATCTCCTGTACGATTGACATAAGGATCCAGTTCGATCTCTAAAGACGGAACCTCTGTTTTCCCTTCATACAGGCAGAGTACAACGTTCTCAGCTTTCCTCGAAAACAAAGAGAAATTGACCATTCCATCATCGGAAACAGAAGCACCCAAGGGCGCAGGATATCCTGGGCCTAAACCCACAGGCACACAAAATCTTGTCTTTCTGTGCGTTTTAATCTCCGAGGCAACAACACCAGCATCAGAACACAAATGCAGCATAAATGATAGATAAAAGGGAGCCTTTGCTGAATCAAAATCCAGATCCAACGTATACCTTCCAGAAGAATTGCGAACGAAGGGCATTATGACGGCACCAATCCCCTTTTCGATGTCTGCAACTAGTGATCCCGGAGGATCAGATCTCGACATTTCATAGATCAGCACCAACTCGTCCTGGGAGACAGACAAAACCTCAATGTGCACAGAAAAGTTCACACCTACGGCTCCCACCACCACCACCTTCACAAGGTCCCCCTTTTCGGACCTGAACATGTAGGGGAATTCCCTCCCCTCGAGTACTTGAGCTTTGCCACTCGCCACCGCCATCGGCCGCGATTGTCGGAGTGAGATCGGGGAGGTTGCACGGACCACTGAATTAAGGCATGTTGGGGGACCAAATGATGCGCCTTTCGGCGAGAATTTCCGGTTGCAACTGCACCGTCCGTGCGTCCCCGCATTCCGCCGCTGCCAGATGACGCCATTATGTGGATGGCCGCGAGTCTTCGCCGCCGCACTCGGAAACCAAATGCTCGCCATAGAGCAGCCTTTCAGGCCTCCTGCTGTGAGAAATGAGTCTGATTCGGGATTAATCAATAAGGGAAAGCATTGGGTGGAGGGGAGGGTGAGGGGAAGGGGTTTTACGTGGCTCTTTCGGAGGACGGAGATGGAGGCGAAGCGAAACGGTCTGAGGGACGGGAGATGGTGAAGGCAACAAAGCAGGAGGAGGAGGGATATGTTTGACGGAGACTGTTTTGCTCTCTCGGTCACAAAATAAGAATCTGGATTTTTTTGATTTAAGAAGAGGATGGGGATGATTCCAAGGAGGAAGACAACGCACCTGGGAATCACGTGAACGAAGAAAGGTGGTCGTTTCGTCGGTGGGACCCACAAGGTCGAGGATCACGTGTCTGACTCATGACAGGGAGCCTTTTCCCATCGGCTCACTGGAACACCACGGACCAGCAGAGGGCTACACTCATATCTAATTCCCTGTTCCCTGTCCGCGCCCAACTCTCGATCGCACAGGACCCGCCACGAGTAGATAGCATAATATATCATATACCAACGGCTTATATATTTCTTCCCAATGAAAATACGATTCAAGTTGGATTACGTTTGCCATCATAGACATTCTCAACAACAATAAATAGCAATCTTGGCAAGAATCGAAAGCAAAACCTGAGCAACTTGTTTATATCTTGACCTCACCATATGCAGAGAAATAGCTAGTGCAAGAAGTCCGTCAATCCCCACATAAAATAAAAGCATAGATTCTTCCCAAAGCGAAAAGAGAGAAGAGGAACGATCCAAAAAGGATCATACTAAGATATTCCGGCAAAACCCAAGAATTATAAAGGGAGCATCTCTCACAAAGTAGTTCCAATGACCATCATGTTCTCTTGTAAGCAAACTCACTTTGGGAGTCCAGTAGTGGGACTTAGCAGAGCTAGACTTTCATCAGTGAGCACCCTTGGTCCACTCCCAAGCCTGGTGCAGATGAAATAGCTGACCTTGCCGGGGAACTTTTGAGATGGATACTTGTCCTTGCTCACAGGTGGTGGTGGCAGGGCTTCAACATCTTTCATGGACTGTAGACCAGCTTCATGCAGAATTGATTTGTCTCCTATTACATAACTGCAAGGAAGATACGCGATTAAATTTGACATCAGATCAAACCAATGTATCGGTGTTGTAGAACCTGAAAACCCAGTGACCTAGTCAATTCATTGTCTGCTGGTGGCGGGAAGCAGAATAGCAGGCGCTGAAGCAGAAGACCAGCGGATTTTCTGTTTGGTGCAATCAAGACGGCGTTGGGCCCCGCGTCGAAAGTGTAGGCTGCCTGAAATTTAGCCATCTCATAAAACATCAAGCTTTGATGAATTGGCGCGCATGTAGCTTCTGTATCATACTTATTATTCTCTGAGATTTAATGCAATGTGCAAAGACGATATAACGATAGTGAGAGATCAGTGGAGAAGTGATTTCCAGATGGCCTTACATAGGCCACCTTATCCCTTTTTTAAGAGACAAAGATGATTTTCTTCCTTGGTTAAACTTTCAAATTTCCTCAAGATATTTAGACTAAATTTAAGCAACATTCCTATTTAATTTAAGCAACATTCCTATTTAATTTAAGCCATCTTTGAAGAACCTAAGATGTGGGGATCATGTCAGAGTCTTAAAGATTCACTTTCAGATATATACTTTCTTATATTAACTTAAGTTCTTTGGTTCCATGCTTGTGAAAAAACCAGTGTTACTCTAATTTCAGATCCCATAGTCGTAAGTTCCTGAATAAATTCAATTAGATTCTAATATTCATATCCTTTTAAGTAGAAAAATTGTTTATAATACAATATGACTTGGTCTTTCCACATTTAAGTAGTTTTACCTATTCTGAGACAAAATCTCCACAAATCCTCAATTTTTGAGTGATTTAATATTTAAAAATTTAGCCACCATCCTTCCATGTCCTAAAGCATGAACAATTAAGAGATTTGACTTCCTTAGTTGTGGTGCTTACTTTTCATAATTATCCTCTTTCCCTGTACTTTCCGATCTCTTATTCCCTTTTTCTTTCTCTTTTGCATGTTTTGAAATGTTAGGATTGAGAACATCATCCTTCAGAAGTCTGACAAGTGTTCCTCTTCTCACTTTATCAAAGACCCTACCCTATCCCTTATTCCCTTTTTCTTTCTCTTTTGCATCTTTTGAAATGTTAGGATTGAGAACATCATCCTTCAGAAGTCTGACAAGAGTTCCTCCTCTCACTTTATCAAAGACCCTATCTATTTCCAGATTTCATGAATGCAGAAGTCAATTTAGGATGGCTTCAGTCAGATAGAAAAAATGTTCTCATAATCATTTAATTCTTTTGAAACTAGGATACAGCTTATCATTAATTGCTACAGCACTTGAAATCAACATCTAGTTACTCACTTTTTTTAACAAGCAAATCCATCCATGTACAGATGCAAAACTTAAGCATCTAGCAGTAATTGTCAATAAAAAACGAAACTAACTAACAAAAATCAGGAACCAAAACATTTTTGTGCTCTGGTTAATCCAAATAGATGGTAGAACTTTATATTCAATTGTTTAGTGTTCATCATAGATCTCCCATGTAATTGCACGTGCATACCTGTGGTGTTCCTTCAGACCTGTTCCATCTTTCAACAAGACTGATTATCCTGAGATATGATTGATGCAAAACAGTCAGTCACAGTTAGTGCCAAGAAAATATAACTTAAATCACATATGACTATGCTTTCAATGGTGTTATCATTCAAATATAAATTGAGTATGAATGGTTTATCTTTATGGTAGAGAAGATCGTGCCTGTGTGATGTATCATTCATGTAGAATATAGGGGGGCTAGTATCCAAGCAAACAGCATGAAACTGATTACTGTCTGCACAAGTCAACCTAGCAAAAGATGCAAAATCACGATTTCTGATAGCTTCTTCCATCTGCAAAATACGACCTGGGACAACAGTCTAGAATAGACAACAAAAGATTGTAAGTTGGCACTAATTCTTCTTGAACAAGTTGCAAAATATTGACGTCAGACTCGGGAAATAGTTGTACGAGCTCTAATAAGAATAAACACTAAACAATAAGGACAGCAAGTAATCTCAGCTGACATACTACAAGAACTTTTAGTAACTGAACATAAAAAATATGCAATTTTATCAATTGACTGACAAAAAGAATTAACTATAAAAAGACTAGTTCTATCAATTGACTGAAGAAGAGATTTAACTACAAAGAGAGTGCAAGGGAATGAAGTGTAACAAAACCTGGGCTCTATGTTGTAAGAGCGGACTTGTCTCAACACTGTCACGCATGCCAGTGGTGCTACTAGTTTCCTTCTGCTTTGAGCTCACCTGGATTTGTGTTTAACAAAATGAGATATATATACTTGGCAAAACTGCACCCAGAGTGAAAAGCTGTAATTGGTGCATTCAACTTATTTTATGAATTGATGATTGTTCAGGGTCACCACTGCAGTCAAATTAAATGACAAATAATTTACCAGACTTACTAAGCTATACAAAATAAGACGAGCCAACAAGTGCCATTGTTCAGTATATTTATTTTAGTCATAATATGTTAGCATGTTTCATATTTCTGCAAAAGTATCAAATTATTGAACAGGCATATTCTGGCAAAATAATTTGGTCAAATCTATGTTTGTCCATATCATAAAAGGTTACAAGTTTGATGTAATTTCTCAACATAATGATAACGGAAATATTATGATCTAGCATAAAATCTTTCAGAAATGGAAAAAGGGTGTTTCTTACCTTTGTTATCCTTCCTCAAAACATCAACTGAACAACAAATTAAATTTCAAATGTAATATAGTGAACAAAATCAACGTCCTTCAAAAAATAACAAGGCAAAGAAAGGATCCATAGTCCATAATGTATCCAACAAAAGAAAATTACCCTTTGAGAGTTTTCAAGGATATATAAAGTAAAATTTTTGGTTCTGGATGTTCAGAGATGGGAGAAGAAAGCTAGTAGCCCTAATAATCAATCATATCTGAGTATCTGGAGAAATTTTTTATTGGCTCTAGAAGACTCTGCAGCAATATATATCACAAGTATATAAAAAATTACCAAAGATGACCAAACTCATATCAGTGACCACTGTCTCACTATATGTTCTGAGTAGAAAAAAAATGAGCTTGTGTATGAAAGAAGTCAACCTTGTCCTCCATGAAAGAACAGATGTACACAATAACTACTTCAAAAAAAGTCTATCACCAAAGACTAAGATAATAAAAACATTTATCAATTCACGATGTCATTGATGTACGGTGACCACATACCACTGCTATGATAATAACAAGGTCATTCCAATGTGATTCTGAAGCAAGCTGAACTGCAATGCTGTCACTTCCACAGGCATCCTGATAATCAGCAAGATTAATTAATAATCATTAACCGTGCCTCTGGAACTATATATAGTGCTTTCAGGTTATATATGTTCTTTTCATAGTGTAAACTTACCTTACCCATGGTCCATTTGACAAAACCACCATACATACTGCGACATGCACTGCCTGACCCTTGCCTACATATGAGAATGTTACTTCAATTGGGATTCACTTATAGGTAGTAATATTATATGGTTAACCGCAGTGATTTATGAGACTGACGCCTAAAAATATCAGTGTCTGACAAGTGGGACCAAAGAGAGTTAAAAGTGCAGAGTGAAAGGGCATGATTATACAATGTAAGTGCAAGACACATTATTTCATCGGAATAAACACACAGTTGAAGTAATATGCACAGACCTCGCAATGGATGAAAGCTTTCCACAATCTTCCTTCACATTCATTAGCTTTGCTAGAGTGAAAACTGTGAAGAAAAACACTCTATAAGATGATATCATGCAGATTATTTCATACAGTTTTTTGTCAGTATAACGAAACCAATACCGACTTATTAAGTGACAAAACTAGCTACAAAAAGTTAACAATTTTTATCAAAATGGGGCGTCGTAAGAATATCAGTCATGCAATATCCTTATTAAGAATATTAGTCATTTCTTATTAAGTAAGAAATGTTTAACTCTCGTGTACAAGGATCAAATACGACCAGTACTAACCAAAACAAGCAAGGCCAGCAGCCGAAGACGCCAATCCTGCAGCTGTGGGGAAATTGTTATAGGAAGCAATGTGGACATGCAATTTCTGCCAATCATCCTTCCGGATACGGATACCCTTCTTCTCATCCTCGACATCATCGGCAAGTTTCCTGATTTCCCTCAAACAGCTCTGGAATCTATCTCCAGAGAGTGGAATCTCCTACAGAAACCCGTAAATTTCAGACATCGAGCCAAACAAACACTATCGATGTACCAAAACGACCTTAATCTTCTTACCCTCAAAACCCCAAAAAGAAGGCGATCCATCGAAACCCAAAAAAATAAAGCAAACAAGAAAACACAGAAGCATAGGATCCGATCTACCTTGCCATTGAGCCACATCCGATCTCTGTCGAAGGTAGGGCTAACGGCGACGGTGGTGGTGGCGGAGAGATGGTCAGGATCGAGGGTGACGCTGATGCTGTCGTTGACGGGGAGGATGAGGGCCTCGTCGCGCTTCCCCCAGTACTTGATCACCGCGATGTTGGTGGGAGTTCTTCCGGTCGCCATTAGAATCCAGCTCTCGGTCCCCGACGCCATCCCCCTCCGATCCGACTCCAGCAGCAAACCTTGCTGGTGGGAGAAGGCAGCGAGCGACAGGAAGTGAGAGCCGGAGCCTCGTCTATATTTCGATCCCCAGAGAGAGAGAGAGAGAGAGAGAGAGAGAGAAGACGGAGTCACCAAGCAGCTGACTGTCCGCTTAACTGGACTGGCCCAACCCTTCTTATTTCCGAGGCATCCTTGATACATGTATCTCCATTTAATATATGCTGATCTCCTTCAAATAAGAATATATATGTATGTAATATATGATTAGTGTATATTTTAAATACATAAATGGTAACGATTTTGAAATTTTATCCACTATATATATATATATATATATAAGAAAATTAAATTGTACAATTTGCTTTGTCCATGTTGTCATTTAAAGAGATGCATGGACCCTGCAAGATTCGCTGTGCGCATAGAAGATATCTGACTCGTTCGGCGAAAAATGTGGGCATGCATAAAACGTGCGAACCTTACCAACCCGTCTGCTAATCTTCCTCTCTTAAAACAATCATGTATGCATAGAATCTCACAGTGAGGGGAACTCCTTCCCGATCGCTACAAAATAACAAATAGAAAAGGGCAGTCACAATTTATTTGGAAATTTGAGAACACAAGAATCTATTTTGAAATAACCAACCTCGAGAAACTTACCAGTACTAGTCATAAGGAGAAGCTGTTCAAGGAAATTATACACCAAGAACTTGAATTAAGATCTACGCTAATGTTGCTTTTCCATATGTGGAGCCCTTGCAGTTTGTAAAAGGGACTTGTAAAACAGTAAATTAAAAAAGAGAAAAAGGAAAAGGAAGTCTTTGGTGGACATAAGTGCTTTGATCCTTCTCGTCGTAATGTATAAAACTATCCGACTAAATCTACCATAAATAGATTGATACAAGACTGCCTACAGAGATGATGTGCCTCTGCCACAATTACTTGTTATGCCTCTGCATCTGCAGAATAATTCTAAAATAAATATTTACAAGGAGGCCGATCACTGGGCCCATCTTCCAGCAGGAAAGGGAAGAATCTCATATTCATCCAAAACAGATGAGTATTTCCGAAAAAAAAAAAAGGGATAACTCCAGGTTGCAAAAGTAGGATTCCACAGAAGACAAGTTGTTGAACCTACCATCTGCACTCTTATCTTGGTCTCCAGTAGCCACATGCTGCAAAATTAAATCAGAATACTGAATCTTCCACCACATAAAAGTCATTCCATTAAAAAAAATTGGAAATAGACTATAACATAGTCAAGATTAGATTATCTTTTTCTGTGTAAAGGTAAGTTATCCTACGACCTTACTATCAACAATGTCGATAAAAGATCTTTATCAGTTAAAACTAGTTGACATCTTTAGATTAGATGATTTTAATACCAGGTAGTGAGACATATGATGAAACATTCAAGAAAGAAAAAAAGAAAAGGTTGTATTCAAGTGTTTCACCTCCTGCCACTTTTGAAGTTGCACCCTCTATTGATGGTCTTGATGTAGGTATAGAGTAATTTGAAATCCTTGGAGGATGTGACCAGCCATTATTACATGTCACTGATGGGGGTTCTGACGTACCATAGGGGGGAAGAGAAGCAGGTGATACTCCAACCTTGTCACCAAGAGATGAACCTATAATGGGGACAGAAGTTCCTGGTTGGTGATAACACATTTTTTTCATTTTAAAAAAAAAGTTGTCAGGGTAAATCATAATGCACTACCAGGCTGAAGCACTGGAGATAATCTGTTTCTTGCAACAACATCCTGATACAACTGCCCTGTAGCCACTTGATCACCATGCAAACTGCCCCTGTGGCTCTCATGTGCATACTGAAATCTCTCAGGAAATGGACAGTTACCCCAAGGATGTGCTCTTTGTTGAGGTTCAGCCTGTACATAAGAAAATTGATTTGAAACCGTTGGTGGAGGTGGCCGCAAGCGATAACCGGTGTCCATCAAAGAAGTGCTGGCTAATGGCTGAAAGTCATTCCGATACCGATTGCACGGATGAGAAGTAGTGACACCGCCATAGGGAACAGAAGCAGGTGGTGGCATCTCGCCAGGAAGACATCCATAACTGGGGCCATACTGTGGCGCAGGCTTACTGGACATCAAATGGGCATCTTGATTAGAAGGTTGTTGGCTAAAATAATGGGATTGTTGATTTTGCATGTTCTGCACATAACACAACAGAAATGCTTAAAACACAGGCAACTAAAAATCTGACAAAATCTCCTGCAATTTGTTTGAATGATACTCACAGGATCAGTTCTAGGCAGGTGCAACTCAATGGCATCAGCAAGGGCATGAACTCCTGATTGCCACTGTGGAACAACAGAATGTGTGGTTGAACAGGGGGAACCAAGAGGAGGTGGTGGTGGCAGAGGAGGAGGAGAAGATGGCAAAGGGGGTGGAGATGGTGGCCTGTCCTCCGGAAGTGGCGGAGCAAATGGTAATAAATGTTGCTGATCAGTCTGATGATGGGAGTGAATAGTATAAGATCCTGAAGAGTTCATTTTCACAGGAGGGGATACATCTTCCATCTCAAGTTCAACATCCACATCTTCCAAGACATGGGGATTCTTTTCTATAGAAGTTTGAATTGTCTCCTTCTCACCATCCATTTCAGCACATCTTTCTGGAGTAACAGCCTCAAAACTCTTCCCATCAGAAGCATTTCCTTCTTCATCTTCTAGCACATTAGTATTCACCAGGAATGGAAGTTGAAAATTGCTATTGCTGATGTTAACAAAGAAAAAAAAATCATGTAAATAAACAGTTGCTTATATCAAGAAACAACCAACATATCTAAATATAACCATGGATGTATAAACATAAGAACCATTTTGTTTACGTAAAAATAGTATCCTCAAAATCAACAGTCAACAGCATATATAGGGCAAAAAAGTACAAGATCAACTAAATTAGTGGAAATTAAGCAGAGGCAATTAAGATCACCTGAGAAAAGAGAGAGATGTCTCCTACATTAGTGAAAGTATTAACTGAATTTCAGCCATTCAGTCCAAATGCTACATGAAGAATAAAAGACAAATGATCGAATGGGGAGATTAGGATGTAGAAGACCACAGCATGAGTGATTCAGTAGGTGTTGATTCATATATGTGAATACTCACATCGCACTTCATCGTAGGGCTTATATAAGATCCATTTATCTAGATATAATCACATACATCAAGAAATTTGTATGCCTTAGTAAAAGCTTGCACAGTTTGAGAAAGGATTTCCATTGATAAAAAAGAATATATTTCAATTAGGCTCGACCATACATAATACTAATCACACAGGGGTGGGCAATTAGCTAGTGCAGCAGGTGCCACAGTGAAACTGATTGAAACGAGGATAAATCAGCCACATTAAGATAACCATCTAAAGAGATTCATTTATCAACTGAAAACTGCTTAGTCGAACAAATGAATAGTGTCGGAGTAAACCAAAAAAGTTTAGGGTGCCCTAAGATTCCAAAAGCTATTTCATTATTATTGTCCATTGACCTTACACTCAATAATCCTCCTTTTCTCAGAGTATTGCCATTGTAATCTTAAAATGTGTTTTTTTTCGACCAAGCTTCCGATAAACTTAGATTTTCGACTTGTTCAACACTAACTCTTCAATAAACTATTTGCTGAAGGTATCCCTGATTCCTTTAATAACAAGTGGGACCAAATAATACAATTATGGTATTTGCTGAACCATACCACATAGTTCGAGCAACAATGAAAATAGTTTATATTATAATCAACTAGCAATCTCTGTAGCTTGATGTCAATCAAAAATTTGTGTGAAGCCTATCCATTACAATACACCATCAAACCACAATATTATCCTCTTATAAGAATAAATTTAATTTACAACTTTGTTTACAATCATCACTGGGATCTTTAAGTGATATCTAATTGGCCCTAAATAAATAGAAAAATCAGAGCAATTGTTACTAAGAATGATGTTTCTCTAATGACTATTTTCTCACATGGTTTACAGCCAAAAATTTGCAAAAAAGGTCATGCACTGAAGTTCAATTTTAAGATGACCATTCATAATGCAATGTTGGAACTTCATCAAATCAGGATTCAAAATGCAACAAAATTGAAGCAGACAAGTGATCCCATAAGCAAAGAATCACGAAAGAGAACAGCCTACTCTTTGTCAGTATGTACATGGTATGTCAGTCTGGCCATGGACCAGCACGCAATTCAGTGCAATGGAGGAACCTGAATTTGTTAAGATATTTATATATTTCCAAAACAGTGAAAGGGTACATTGTACAGGCAGAAATACCAGTTTGGCTCCACACACTATGATCTGACGAACTACACAGAAGCAGCTAGTTAAACAAGCAAGCAAGAATATATACACATGTATACACACATTTAGAATGAGACAGAGTTTTCAGTTTTTGTCTTTATATTAGTTTTCAATTCACACTGCAACAGTGGGTATTATGTACCAGTGTCAGGTCACTGGTACTGTGTCCAGTACCAAAATCAAAATCCATGCTGTCAGTACCATTAAAAGGGCAGCCACACAGGCAAATATTCGAGGCCAATTCTAGTAGCATCAGGACAAACATGTTTAAGAGCAAGAAACAAGGGAGCCAAGTATTGCTTTTCATGCTTTATACTCCCTTTTCCAAAAGGGTTGACTAAATTTTGCATGCATCACACATTAGAAAAAAGTAAGCAAGAGAAGAGTACGAACTGCACCTTCCATACTCGTCAACAAGCATTCCCTCCATTTCCCTGAGAGGATCATTAAGAGCCCGCTCTGTTCTTGATGGACGCCGAGAAGAACTACTACTATATGACAGTTCATTTGTGAAGCCAAGTTCTCTCATGTGATGACGAACAATTGATTCTGGAAGGGTTTTCCTTTCGAGCCATAATCTCAAAACCTTATTCAATAAGTATAACTTGATAAGCATTAGCATTACTCGGTAAACAGAAGTCGAAAGCAATTGCTTAATGTTCTTGCCTTAATGCATTGCCTGCGGTTCTCGGATGCAGCATTTCCATGAGGTGCAGCAGCAGATAATAAACGTGAAAGCACTGATTGGACAAGAGAGAGGTAGACATCTCCCACTCCACCTAGAAATTAAAAGATGCAAATTTTGACTTATAACCTTAAAACCAAAGATAATGGTCTATATGAAACATATTTAATTATAGTACCTTTCTGACTCCTAGAACACTGAGTAATTGAATCTACAAGGAAGAAAAGATCTATCCTTTTGTGCAAGCTCTGTTCTTTTTCCAGGTTTTGAAGAAGAAGTTCAATTACCTAGTACCATCATATGGAATGTAAACAGACAAGAAATTGTCAATATTAATGCAAAATATATGCTATGACAAAAATGCATTAAAAATTATCTCAAACAAATTCACATTATTCCATGAACATAATAACAATCTTTTGACACCAAAAGGCCTTGATATCAGATTGGCAACTAAGTTCCCACAATTGACTATGAGCCTGAAACAACTTGCACATTAGCTATGGATATGCACAGAGCAAGATAATAGATGTAATTATACTAAAAGACTAGATAAGTTCCATGAAAACATAAACCAAAAGGCCACTTAATTTCGCCATCTTTGACGAACTAGCAAAATTATTCTTCTTTTACACACTTGGCAACTGTTGTTGAAACACATAATTAAAAATAAGCACTCAAAATGACAACATAGAGAAGAATTTAACTCAGTAGAATTATTCCAATAGTAAGCAATAAAGTAACCTGCTCTTAATCAAAATGGAACCGAAGTTCCACAAACAAATGAAAAAGGAAAAGCATTCGCAGAACTAGTAAGACACTGGGCTTAGGTAAGGCTCAATAATTCTTCAATAAAGTTTCTTTTCCCCTGAAGGTGCTAGCTCACCGTAAGGTCCTGCTTTCACCATTAACCCTTTGGAAAAAAAAAGTTCTTTTTCCCATATTATAATGACGGGAACAACACCAATAACTTCTCAGCAATGTAGAGCTCTACCAATGCTAGACCACAGAAAAAACATCTTCCAAGATTCAGACATGGGAAGTATCCCAAGTGAAGAGCAATTCAAGCTGACATTGTCTTGCACCAACCTAAGTTCATAAGCATGCTCTGAAAGAAAATGAAGACTGTTTGGGTTTCCATTTACAGTAAAGGCTATATGAAAATAAATTAACAGCTCAACGAGCAGAATCATTTTCAATATCCAGCAAGTCTCAATCAAGTATGAACAAGAAAATGGTTAAAGAGTTCAGAAAAATAGGGTCTCAATTGCACGAAAGAACATTGTGGGATGAATCACCTTAATGTACTCTTCTCCTATTGATATCTATCTCCTTTTCTTAAATGATTATTCCTGCTTTTGTCTATATTTTTCTTCCTTATCAACTTTTATGATCATGTGTATGAACCATAGCTATTAAACAAACATTACTTGCTAACATTTGACGAATTTCAAGACAGCACTATATATGAGAATCAAAATATCAATTTAAGGCACCCTTCTTGGCCACAGCAGAGTATCAACAGTAATCATATCAAATTTAGCATCTTGGGAGAATTATTTTCTTTCAATGTTTTCTAAGTAAACTCCCACATCATTTTGTATCTATTTTATTCATGACTTAATAATTCATGTTAAATTAGATCATGATAATCACCATAGAAGGGATACTATATCTTGTCATCATAACCAAAGATTTGGAGGTGATGAAATGCAACTTCCAACTAAAATTTCATCAAGGGTCAACACAAATACAACATATTTAAGCCGAAGTGAATGGTACGAGACAATTATACAAGAACAGGCTAGCAACATGATGCCATGAAAAACAAACTCCATGGACTAAATAAAACTAAAGATCAAGGGCAGGGTTCAACCAAACATCATATTAGAAAGCAAAACTGGGCTCAGCTGTTTTATTTTTAGCCCTTAAAATGTTTAGCTTTGCCCATACCCCATGAACAAGGACCATGTCAAGACAATAATGAGACTTGTATCTGCTCTAAATATTTCCAATAAGGTCGTTGTTCTCGTATTATACCAAAACTTCAACTAGCATGGACTGCAACCTGGCCTGAGTCTCAGGCTTGGTTTGACAGATAATGATTAGCATGCAAGTGGAACAAACCTAAGCTCAACCTTGCCAGATGGACGTTGAAACTCCAAAGGTAATCATAACATACTCTATAATGAATCTAATAAAGACATCTTATTAAGCACAATGAACAAAAATAAAGTACCTCATTTTTTATACTTAATCCAAAAGGTTTTAAGGTACACATTTTTAGAGCACAAATAAAAGAGGTAGAAGGTAATTTTTTAAAGCAATTAACCAAATGCAACAAAAATACATTTTGAATGAAAAGTTACATGCATAATTTTAATTTATCTAACTCTGAAGGGAACAATAAAGGGATCCTCCAGAGAATGCAGTGCAAGTTGACAAGTACACAAAGTAGTGATTAGGTAATAACTATTTGGCATATGTTGTTTGGCTTTTCACTAATTTTATGTAGGGTGTGTCCCTGAGATCAATCATTTTCCACTTCCTGATTCATAGTGGCCAAAAACTCAAATATTAAGCATGTGATTTTTTGGATTTTTCTAGCTTCTCTACCACCATTGTTCTCAAACAAAAGCTGGTCTACATCTGCTAAATTCCATTTAATTGAACCATATTTAAGAGCACAAAGGTGCACACACGTTCTTCAAGTAGGCTATGGCTCATGTAAATAACTTTACGACAATGTAAGAGAGAAAGCTTTGCAATTAACTTTACGACAATGTACGACAAGGTGCACACACGTATCAATAAACCACAAGCATAATGCAATTAAAAACAAAAAAATGAACATCAAGTTACAAAATATTCAGAGAGAAAGCTTTTCCAAAAGCATAAAAATGGTAAAATTCTATCAGGTATAGGAGTGTCAGTTGAAATTTGATACCTATCTGCTCTAAGAGAATGTAAATCTGCAGAAAGAAAAAGGTATTGCACTTCAAAAATTGAAATCCAATCTAACAAATAGCAATCACACAGACAGATAACAAGAATCATTCACTAAATTAGCTACACTGAAAAGAACCTGCTAGACTATTCTGTTTGTTAACTGAATACTAAACCTTAATATTTTTCACCTGCGAACACACCAGTCCACAATCTGTTACAAATTGCTAAATTATCATGCTAGTGAAATGCATACAAAAAAACCAATTATTGAACAGTATAGCCTTAGCATAACATTTAGTTGAATTTTAATCAGCAAAACTCTAATATTTTCCCTTCAAACGAAAGGAATATTCACAGCAAGAGTATAATTCATAAATAGATTAAACAATTATAGCAGGAAAGATTGGAACATAAATACAGAAAAAATGAGAAATGTTTAACAAGAAAACAAAAAAGTAAAGCGCAAATGACTCTGACCTCTGCAGCCAACCCGTATTTAGCACAATCAATTGCAAGCCGTGTTGCTCTGCCTATGCTCTCTTTTGTCCTAGTCAGTGTACAAAGTAAAGCTTCAAAAGTTTTCCATGCTGCATTTGCTTCTACATGGTTAGATCTGTTTGTGCATTTCAGTTGCAAACTAATGTGAGAAATTTTTCCGCCATTCTGGGATGAATTGCTCATATCATCGCCAGTAGATGTATTGTTGACCAAACTATTTGGAGGAAAACCTTGCCCAGAAAAGTCTCCTTTATGGACTAGAGATGGGCTTACTATTGCATCTGGAACAATTTTACCATCTAAATAGCTGTGAGAAAAGGAAGTGGAGCGAGACAAAATTCGCTTGGCCTGAGCTGCAGCAATCAGTTCTTTCATGGGCATCAAATCAGGAGAAATACACCTACCTTTTGGAGTTTGTCTGTGTTGAGTTTCTTTAACAGCACCTTGCCTGAATGCAATGACAAGAAATGTTTCCTCATAATTCAAATTTTCAAATCAAGATATACCAAATGATTAGTGTAAAAAAATGCAAACTGGACAACAGAATAAAAGCAGACAAAATAGCTAATGAACCAAAGGCACCCATAAACATATAAGTAAACTATGTCCTCTTTCTGATGTCCAGCTTAGAGGAAATATTGTTGAGAGCAATTTTACCACCTTGCCCTATAAAAATAATATCACAAGGATAAACTCACCATTACAATGTTAGCTTAAACATTGACGTTCTGATATCAGGCTCATTGCAAGATCAGATATAAATGTTCAAACTCATATCCTGATTTTTAAGTTTGGTGACATTGCTTCAGCTAATTTTTCTAACAGATCAAGCTTAAAAGAGGTGTTGAACTATGCATGTTTTTCCTGGTTGATCAAGCTAGGAAGAAATGGCTACAAAACCAGACTGATCATGAGAAATTTGCTAGCCTGTGATGATGTTTTGTATCAAACTTGAGCTTTTCATTATAGTAATATTACATTTGCTTGATGTTTTCTTTTCCAGGCATACCTCATTACCAATTGTAGACCTACTTGAATTACAAGTGGGATCAGCTTAAAAGCTGGATTACTTCAAACATAAAACAGGTCTTTTGCTTAGTGTAAACTTGAAGATCAAGCTGTCTTTAGGTTCAAACAGAACAATAATAACTTATATGTGGAACCATCCCATGTATAGCTTCAGAACAAAGGAATCAGAACCAGACTAGAAAGCAACCCAACCAAAACCTGGGTCACTGGTGGGACCGGTGAGTCAACTGATCCAACTGCACATTTAATTCAAATATATTTTTCAAAACATATATAACAATTCAAATTTATATAGTAAAAATCTAATATGCCAAAATTACTAATGAACAATGTTAGACAAATGAAAACAAAATTTCAGTTGAATAGAATATGATAAAATTATTAACATCAACCAACACTATAAACATAAACCTATATCCAAATTAAATAATATGTGATAAAATTTAAAAAGTTAAAGTGTGAATATGTAATTAAATTGCTGAACTAAGAATTTGGATATGGATGTGACATATATTATGATGAAAATAAAGTAAAATTATATTAAGAAAATGAAGTAGCGAAGTACAATAAAAGAGAAGACAATGAGACGATGACCACATGAACAAGAATGATTGGGACAAGAGGAGCAGACCACAAATTATTGAAGAAAGAAAAATAAATAGAAAATACAAAAAGAAAAAAGAGTGATGCGAAGTAGATGAGATGAAGAGAACACATGAGAGGGGAGGGGTAGAGGAGAAAGAGATTGAAAGCGTATATATGATCGCTTTTATTTAATCAATCGATTCATGCGTGTCATCCAACAAATGATCGGTTCAACTGATTCATTCCAGTTTTTCGACATAATAAATCCAATAAGGGAACCAAAACCGGTTAATGGTCTGATTCTCAGTTTTTTCGATTCAACCAACCAGTTTGTCGGGTTCTGATAAGTATGCTTCAAAAATAAAATGTTCAAGACCAACTTATTACATAATTTCACAAAATAATAGTAAACTACTTGAAGCCAAAAAAATATTAAAAGAGATAACAACTTATTATCTAATTATGAAGCACAAACAGATAACAAGTGAAGAATAGACTGTTGTCTCCTGATATGCTTCTGCTTCTTTTAGGAATGTTTTTGTTGTAGCATGGTCCATTAGAAGTTTTCTACAACACATGTTTCAGGATATATGGTGATTAAAAACAACTAATGACAACCAGCAGAAGCATCTGAAAACAAACTGACATTAACCTGAGATAGTTTGCTCAATCTTGGATTCATCCAGGTTAGTTACTATGTTAACCCAATTAAACTCTTGAGAGAGAATGGCAATGCTCTTAGCAGTTTCAATATGTGAAGATTAAGGATTTTACAACCACTCATAAATGAGTTTTGACCAGAATTAAGCTAGATCAACTTTACCTAAAAATTCATGTAAACTAAATTTAAAAAAAAAATCATATCTAAAGTGGAAAAGCGAGAGTTTTTATTTGGGATTAACAAGCAAATCTTAAGTATGCACTGAATGTGAATATTTCTAGATCATCCTAAGCTCGTTAGTAAATTTTGCTTATCTAAAAGCATTTTTGAAATGTCCTACTGCACAATTTTTCTTCTTTTATATACTGAAAAATCTTGAACACAACCTAACCCAATGATTAAACTTTAATACAAAATAAATTGGTATATAATTGAAATATTTACAACTAAGAGCAGTTATAATTAAACAACGCAAACTAAATAACACAATAATTACTAAAAGCTTACATGGTGACAGTTTGACTGTCTTCATCAGATTGAAAAGAAGACATTGTGGCCCCGGATGTGCTGCTTGCTATTGAAACCATATCTGCAGCTGATACAGTTAGAACAGCTTCATCAGGAGGCACAAAGTGAATACCCCCATCAGCATTTAAAAAAGCATCCTGCTTATGTACAACAAGTTCTACACTTTCATCTCTATTAATGTGGTCCATGCAAACATGGTGGTTTCCATCCTTGTTTTCCATCATATCCTTATTTGTTTTATCCAATGATAGACGTGCCTTATCAGCCAAATTATCAGAGGGTGTGACATTAACCTCTTCGGTGAACTTTGAAGAACATGGCTGTGGACTTTCCTTCTGAGTAATACCAACAACAGCTTTGGATACACTAAATCCATTGCATTCAGCAACATTCTGTAGAATTTTATTGCAATCCTTATTTTGTGGGCTCCTAACAATTTCAATGTCGGCAAGAATGTCATGTGTTTTTACTTCTGAAGAAGATAAAGAAGGAATGTCTAAATTCTGTGTGACTGACCCTGATTGACTAATTGCATGTGTGTCACAGTCAGATGAGCATATGCTCCGCAATCTTACAGGGCTTCCGAACTTTGCATCAGAAGCCATGAAGATATTAGCTTCTATAGCCCTTGTAGATTCAGTACAACTTTCTGTAGCTTCAGTAGCATTAGCAGACATAGCTTCCAAAGCACGATGTAGGCGCTTTGATGGAGGCAAAGCGGCTTCAACATCTAGCATGGAATTCTTTAATTGATAATTTTTGGCCTTCCAAAACATAAGGACCTTTCCTGAAGGTGGAGAGCAATTGTTTAGTACAGACGAATTTAAGTCTTCTTTACCTGTTAACAATGTCCCTTCGAGAAGACTAGTATTTGTAAAAGTAGGGGATGTATGCTGCTCGTCACAACTAGTCACCACGGTTAATGTTTCCAATTTTTCATCACCACAGATGAGCTCACCATGCTGTGCCTCCTCTGCAACCGGTTTGCCCATCCGGACCCTAGCTCTCTTCACCAGAGGAAGGTGTTCATCTCCATCTGCCTTCTGATTTGTTTCCTCCATTGCGTTGAAAGAATTTGGTGGACTGTAACCAGACACAACTTGTAAATCATCATCCTTGTTCAACACAGCACATTCTGCAGCATCATTTACTTGTTTTCTATTTGATTTTATTTTCTTATGCACAGAAGATTTTGTGGGGAGTTCAATATTTCGATTCAACTTATCTTTGTCACCCAAGCATCCATTTGTAGAGGCTTCATGAAGACAACTGGATTCTACAACACTTATGTTCAGTTGACATGCCTCATAATCTTTTGCTACAATTTCAGTACCAGTTTCCTCTCTGCAACCATTTGAAGGCATACTAGCAGTACAAGGCACATCCGTGACATGAAAATTAGATGTATGAGATGCATGCTGCTTAGTCTTGCTTTCTGCATTCACACTAAGAATCACATCAGGAATCAAATCACCTGATAGATCAGAATCATATACTGAAGTGGACTCCTGAGTTATTGAGGAATCAGCAACCAATGAACTCTTAAACCCCCTACGTGATGGCACACTTTTCTGTAAAAATGAGCTATCCTGGGAATCATCCCTAAATCTTTTCTTCTTTGAAGTAATACTAGCACCTAATGAGTTTTGTCTAAGTTGATCAAGAACGGTTACCATTTGAAGTGGCTCATCAATCACTAAATCCTTTTGAGAATCATCTGCAGTTGAGGTTGCAGAAACTTCTTCAGAACCCACAGTATCATTGGTTTCTTCCATGTCACAGACAGTTTCTAACTTACGGTCAGAATCTACAAGTGAGCCAAGTTCCAAACGGTTCCTAAAGCTAAAAGAATTGCTTCTAGTTCCTACAAGTTTCAGATTTTCAGCACATGGCTCGACATCATCATTGCTTGTATTAGATTCATACAGATCCTGCTTCTTTAAAGTTTCATAAATATCAATTATCTCATCAACAGCTCGCACAAAATCAGCCCCTTTGCCCTGGCGCTTAAGCAAAAGAGATTTCTTCTTCTCCTCGGTGAAAGCTTCAATATCAGCATAATTGCAGAAGGCGCTACACAGAAGATCACAACAAAAAAGAATATCTATTCAAAAAAGTGAAAAAAGAGACATAGTAAAGAGCTACAAGCAACAAGGTACCTTAAGCACATATCATAAACATGAACTTATCTAACAGAATAAAGTGGAATAAACCCTGAGCAGCAAGTCAGATGCTTGAAGAAAAAAAGAATAAAAGTAAGCTAAAGTTGGAATATTACATAACAGAAAACATGTAAATGACTAGAAAATATTTGATGTCTGTAAAAATTGTTAAACATTATATTGCTCCAGATTCATAAAATTGGCTTTGTAGTCATTTGTGACTTAAAAACTGCCATTGCTCTATATCAATACTTCCCATTACCAGTCTCTAAGATATTTTCAGTACAAGAGAATAAAACAGCAGAATGACCTGCAGGTTCAAATAGGCTGAGAAACAACCACAAGGCAGGTTCTTTAACCACTTAACTAGCCTTTAGTACTAAAATCTATCTCTTGTTCAAATGTGGTGTGTCGTCTAATGTGGTAGGTAGTTCTTTAAAATTTGAGAACAGGCTGCTAGCCATCCAGTAAGATCTGTTTTTATATTCCATAGAGTTCTCTCTTCCTAGAATTGTGTGGTATATAGAATGATCTGCAGAAAAGGGCAACAGGAAGTATTCGGTTGAATCCACATACTCAGCTGGATAGCCAAAGCATAGGGATGCTAATTAGCACTACTATCCTACACATCTGAAATACTTTCCAGCTAACTAAACAATCGCCATTCAGATAAGGTGATGAATGCCTGTATTGTGAATTGGTTACAGCAATGATGAATGCCTAAAACCCATTATACTCTATACTACAAATAACATGAATATCATATGGGTTGCACCTGTAAGTTTTAATTATTTTGAACATTACGTCATTACAACCCAAATAAATTCACAGTTACAAGTGACAAATTATGAAATTTCTCCCTGGCAAGATTAGATCCATATTACGGTTAAAATTTACACAACTCCAACTAGGGTTATAGAGCGCAAACTTATAATCTTGTAATCCTAGCAACCTCAGGTTGATGTCAACTACTGGCAGTTTATTGTTGGCTGCTCAAGGTCTTTGGATCAACTCTGGGATTTCATGGCCTCTAAGCTGCAACATTAATTATCCTTCTTCTAATGAATGCCATTCCAGAGCATGGGTGCAGGAGGGGACAGACTTAGACAGAAATATTACTTGGCAAATCAGAAGTCTTATTTGTATCTCCATATGGTCCCTTGGCTTATTGATGAAACTTTCACAGCCGCCAAGGCAACATCATCTCTATTTGGACTAAGGTGGTTGCTGGTTACTACCACCAACGAATTCACCAAGAGTATATTTAAAAACGAGAGAATTGTTCAGACCAAGGTTATAAATATTATACTATATCGGTGTACCGATCAGCTGTCGATACGGTACGTATCGAGCTGCACCAAGCATACTGACACATACTACACTAAGGTGTACCAATGTACTGCCCATACCAATCCTGTATCGGATTGGTACGTACCACTCGTACCGAGCGGTATGGTATGGTATTGCAAACCATGGTTCAAACACAACACATTGGAGAGGAATGCTCTCTATCAGATTATATAATGCGATGTGATGGATCTTTCCACACAATCTAATTTTTCAGGTACAGGTTTTGTCATCAAAATGAGGCGAAGCAGGTCGGCAGCAGCTCGATGCAATTTTGGATGTGCCTAAACCACCCTGCATGTTGAATATAAGGTGATTTTGGAAGGCCCAAACTATGTTAGACGGGAGGGGCTCAGCAATGTTTGGGTGCAGTCAGACACCCTGCATGTTGAATACAAGGCAATTTTGGAAGGCCTGAAATATGTTAGACGGGAAGGGCTCAGCAATGTCTGGGTGCAATCAGATTCGTCGGAGGAGGTGAACTTTCTATATGGTTTCTCTGTCGTGCCTTGGCAAGTTCAATCCATTGTAAAGGACATTTTGAAATTTGTTAATTTAGTTAGAATGGTTAAATTCAGCCACATTCACAGAAGAACATTACCCATCAATTGGCCAATGTTAGATGCATCAAATGTAAAAAATCTTTAAGCCGGGGAGAGGAACTCCACATTACTCTATTCCTGAAGATGTTCTTTACCTTCTTTGAATGAATAGGTTTTCACCTTTTTTAAAGAAAAAGGCCTATCGTCTTTAGTCAATTTAGTTCACCCCCATAAGGGAAATCCAACCAGATAGCTTCATTACTCTAACCCAAAATCATTCACAGAAGTTCAAGTCTATTAATTGGGATGTGGGAATATCATGGGATATTGCATTCCTATATCTTAGAACACAAAATAGCTTTGGACAAGTTGACTTACATCAAATTATCCTAAGAATTTTCCCCACTACAACTACATTGATGAGGTAATTTACCACTCAGGTATGTGCTTAAAGTTTGGCAATCTTTGTAAAAATGAAATAAAAATATGTCTTCATAGTTCATAGTAAAAAAGACAAACACAACACAATACAGTCAGAAAAAAGTTGGTCTAAAATAAAAAAGTTTCAGACTGAAACTGAAATTAGAACCTAACCAAATTATAGGATTCAATGATCTTTTAAAACACCAGAAGCCAAAAGATAAAGCCTTCATTTGTAACAGCATGACCTCGAGGAGACAACTCTAAGAATACCATGCTATTATATGCAGAAAAATATTCAGTCGCTGCCTTGATATATCAGCTTCAAAATCAATGTGCAATTCTCTCTACTCATTTTCACAAACCTCTAAGAAAAAATAAATTGGAGAGTGATCTATTAAAGCACCCAATTCCATATCTAGCTAAAGATGTCTATACATTGTATTTTTAGTAATTACCTTAGTATGATATTGTTAGTATAACAAAGTAGTGAATAAATTAGGTATTAATCAACAAAAATGTTACAATATAGAAAAGACTGACAACAAATATTTTGATGTCTAGCTCAAGCATAATTTGACAACGTCAAGGAAATAATATAAAAAAACTTCAGCTTTATAAGTAAGCTACTAGATGTACATATGCTATTTATCATAATGAGGTAATATGAACAAGGAAAGAAAGGTAGACAAAAGATAAGGAACATCAATGGGTAGGGAAAAAGAGGAGATGAAGCCAAAGTATAAAAATAGGACTGACCAGTCAGAATAATGGAAAAGCAGCGACCAAAAGAAAAATAAGATGAATATCCCGAAGTTGTTAAGAGTTGAAGAGGGTCTCCATGATTTGCATCTAGTGATTCTATTCCAACACCTCCCCTAAGCCTCTGATATGCAAAGGCCTTTAGACCAAGGATATTAATTTCGAATAATTCTGCCAATACCGGACAGTCCTCCCCTAAGCCTCTGATATGCAAAGGTCTTTAGACCAAGGATATTAATTTCGAATAATTCTGCCAATACCGGACAGTACGTACCGGTACGTAGATCGCCAGCTAATGGGCAGTACCGTCGAATGGGGCTGTTTTCGTCCCGTCACCACCCTAAATCGGTCAAAGATGATCGATTTCAACCGTCGCCGCCAGCTACCTAGTGGTATTAGCCAAGGGAGAAAAAAAGGAAGAACATGGAGATCCAACACCGCTCTCCATTGACGATCTCGATCCGTCGCCGCCCTCCCTCGTCGAACGCGGTAGATGAGATGTCATCTCCTCCTCGTATGAGGCGATGAGACCTTAGTGTCATCGACGACTTCTCATCCGCATGGGGAGAAGAAGACTCGGCAATGTCACGGGGAATTTAACTCCAACTTAATTATGAATTTAACCCCTAACCCTCTCATATTATGAATTTTCATCTGAAACTCCAACTTAAGAAGTTCCTTTTCATAAACCAATTAGAAGCTGGAATTTAACTGGAAACACCTTGGCATTGAACTAAAACTATGCAAATTTTAAAAATATAACATTTAGATTTTTACAGAAGCACTGGTACCTAAGATCTCACATTTCAGACATATCGATAGACATTGAATTGCCATCCGACAGATATTTCCATATCTGCTGCTTCCACTGATTCATTGATGTATCAAATGGATCCCTATAGATTCTAAAATTAGCTCCCCTCTCTATCACTCTACAAACTTGATCACACTGTTAACTGGATCTTCTTATAAGTTGCAAGTGGCAACACACATTAGCATAGCCAAAATTTCCTATGAGACATGGGGAATCTTTGATAGTTGAACTCTAAGAATCCTCTAATATCTTAAAGAAGAAAGCTCTTCCAACCATCAATTCTAAAAATAAATATATAATAAAATTCAAAATAAAAAACAGTATATAGTTTTTAATAGAAGATCCTACATAATTAGTTCAGATAATTATAAAAAAAAATCAAACAATCTGACAACAAATCCCCTAGCCACCATGATTGAACAATCAATAAGTGATAGTCTGTAATGTCTGAGATGGGAAGGAACGGCTAAGAGTGAAACATAATTCATCACAACTAAGTTATTAATTACCACAATGCAAGTAGTATTATGATTACATCAGGAACATCATTTATACTTGAGATTCATAAAATGTTAGATCTGTATGTCATTGTTTGCTTCATACACCAAAGTTATATATAATTTTATAAAGGCTTATGCATGAAACTAGCCTCTAGGCTCTATGATCCTCGAAAAAGGGTATTGTACCCGCCTTAATTTTTTAGATGTGTAATTAAATCAACATATAAAAAGATGCCATCAAAATGTGAGAGATGATTGAAGAACAAAAAAATAATCAAATACACAAAAATATTTTAATTTTAAATTTTCAAAATTCTGAAATTAAGTCATGGAGTAGTTATGCTTTAGGAAAATATAATGTTTTGTATGTAATGAAATGTTGTCTTTAGCCTTGTTGGTTGATATATTATGGTTATTGTATAAGCATATTTTATATGTAATGAAATGTTGTCGACAGATTTGAATTGATATATCGTATAAAAGTTTTAAAAGACCTCTCACGTTTGAAATTTTAAAATATTTATTTTACGATGATATGAACTTATGGTAAATGATTAGAGTTCTAATTATATAAATTCTTACGCTTATGGATTTATAAGTGTGGTTAATGTTTTGTTAATTAGTTTGGGTTTTCATAAAAGTTTGAGTGATGTGATATATGATTATAAACTGCACAGGTTTTATGGATGTGAATTTTGACTCGAATGTGTCTCAGTTTTTCTCAGTTTCTCAGTGTGTAATGTTTTGGTTCAAAGCTTCTGCCAAACTCTGAAAACCATTCTACAAAAAAAACAATAATTAAACACCTTGTCCCACTTTTTCCACCAAAACATGGCTTGTATTGCACACTGCAAATTATCATCCATAGACAAGACATCAGAACATAACACCAAGTTTAATTCTCACTGGTAGTGATAAACCATATGTATGACATCTAGCAACTTTAAACTGCCATAAAATTCGTTGAAAAGTTCAACCTTAAATGGACAGAACCATGACTACAAAACCCAAGCCAAGGTCTCAAAAAATATAGAATGAGATTGTTGCATCTGATCGTGATATATTTCACATTGCTTTTCCATGAAAGTTACATGTTGCTCTTAGAACAAAAAAGGGACATTCTAACGTAAGTTTGCATGTACGAAACCTAGAAAAATATAGCATCTTAAACCTTAATTTCTCTAGCAGTAGAAGCTATCCAAAAAAAACACACAAATTAGAAAACCTCTGTAGTAGTCTCTAGCGGCACAAATTATATAAAAGATGCTTCACATGTAAATGAAAAACAAATATGAAACCATTTTTTTCCAGTAAACTTCTGTCAAATCATTTGAGGGCATATATAAAATAAGCATCCAACGCTAAAGTACTCACATTTGTTTAGTTCCATAGAAGTAAACAAACAATTTCTTACGCACAGCAGAGAAGCCCCACTTCTCTGGTTCACTAATCTGCCAACCATCAAAAATATCAATGAGCAAAGTTTGTCAAAGTCCACAACCCAGAAAAGGCAAAGAAAATTCAAATTTACTGGAAGATTTACAGCATATATATATCCCTGTGCACTTCAAGATAAAAAAGGAATAGAAAAAATCAGGCTCCGCAACAACAGAGAGGTATTTAAATCAAACAAGAAACAACGTTTATAGATATTTACAGCATAATCTTCAGAGTGCATTTCGTGGTCACAAAATCAAAGAGTAAATCAGGTTTCGCCTAGGTTACACAATAAACAATGGTTCATATCCATATCAACAGAAAAGCAAGCACACAGCATCGCGTAGGGCAACCGAAGCAATTTCTTCTCAAGCCCAGATCTCTAATTGAAACTAAAGTAGCCCGAAAGATAATCTCTCTTTTGCTTCACTTACTTCGATCAAGAAAGTCAAGAAAAAGATACGTAATAGTTACAGAATCAAACGAGGGGAGCCAGCAAAACAATAGGGGAGAGAAAAATAAACAAAGTCAAGAAAAGATGAATAACCGGTACGAAATCAAGAAAGGACAGCGCAGCAAAGCAAAAGAAGAGAGTTAAACTCCGTTGCAGAAGTTAGGATGGATCGAAGGACCAAGAGGATACCATGGCCGGCCACGCCGGAAAGCCCCTCATCTTGGCGAGGACGAGATCACCGACCTTCCACTGCTGCTGCTGTGAGACGGCGGCGGCGGCTCTACCAGATCCCTTCCTCCGAGAGGTCCCCATCGCGAGAACGAGAGCCGCCGACCCGACCGCCTAGTGCTAGGTCATGCGATTCCCGGATCTGAACAAGGGACCGAGGGGCTGCCCAGGGAGATCTCCCCTCCTCTCTTCGCAAAGAAAAGGAGAGCTTACTACGGGCGACAGGGCTCGGCAGTCGGCGGAGGGGCGCGCAGGCATCGAATCGGCGGCACCGGAGGAGAGGGGCGGTTCCGGTGGCGATGTGGCCTCTCAAGCAACAAGAACCCCTCTATTATTATGTCTACAAGAGAAGCGGAGCGGCGACGGGATCTTTATGATGGTGTGCGGAAGTCCGTTCATATCCCTATTTCTCCCGTCACTCGATATGTCAATGCACGCTGGAAATACATACGCTCGCACATACACCGTATAAAAAAACGTATGCAATCAATATGTAATGGCGACTATATAAAATAAATAATTAAATCATCATGGTGAGATGAGCCCAACCCAGCCCATGGTCAACCTGTCGTCATCCTTCGCCTTATTGCCACGAAAATTCCAACGGACACAACCAGAACATGCGTGAAACTGAACGCGGTGGTGCCCAAGTCTCGTTTCAATTGCCTGTCATCATCCGATACGAGTTCTTCACCCACCTTTAGCATCTTCCTTCTGATTGGAGAAGCTAATGCTCTATAGGTGGGCCCTAGTGGGTTTTACCAATCAAACGGAAGATACGAAACGCGGGTGCGTTTGTATACGAGTAGCAAATGAAACGGTCCTTGCCCAATTCCAACCCTGGAGAACACATTAATGGCCGGACCTTCCCCTCTTTGCCGATTTCTTCCCTCTTTCTTCCCCCGATCTCCATCGCCCCACGCCGATCCCGAGTCTTAACCCTGGGAGATCTCCATCGCTCGATCTCTCAGAGCAAAGCCCCAGGTCAATTCGACCCCGAGGCCCCGCGACGCGCCTCGCCGTGCCCTCCTCGAAGATCCGTCCTTCCGAGATCGATTCCGCTTGCCGATCGAATCGATCTGCGCTCATCGAGATGGGTAGCGGTAGGGTATGCGGAGGAGGAACCTTCGCCCGGCCGTTCTCGTCCTCATCCTCGTCGCCGCACCTCTCGGCCCCTCCCGGGCCGCCGACGGAGACGGCGTCGACGTCAGTTACCGACACGGTGAACGGCTCGCACCACTTCAAGATCGATGGGTATTCGCTGCTCAAGGGGATGGGCATCGGCAAGTACACGGCGTCGGACACGTTCACGGTGGGCGGTTATGACTGGGCCATCTACTTCTACCCCGACGGGAAAAGCTTGGAGGACGGCGCCACGTACGTGTCGCTGTTCATCGCGCTGGCGAGCGAGGGGACCGACGTCAGGGCGCTTTTCGAGTTGACGCTTCTGGATCAAAGCGGGAAGGAGCAGCACAAGGTCCATAGCCACTTCGGGAGGACGCTCGAGGGTGGCCCCTACACTCTCAAGTACCGCGGCAGCATGTGGTAAGTGAAGCTCATGTGAATTGGCTATTTACAAGTTTTTAATAGTTTCTTTGATCGTTGATTATTAGTTATTTTTATATTTTGCATCTCCGGGGCATGTGATTTGATTTTGTCTATGAGTTGCCACATAACATTCGTTGAGATGGCATCGTAACCAAGTAATCGTTCTCTGAAAATATTCCTGTGGTTAGTGGATGGTGATTTTTTGTTTCTCCGATGTAAAATGACCATGTTTTAAAACATGTATTATGTCTTTTCTTTTCAAAATTTAGTTTCAATTGATTGTCTTGTGGAAAAAATTATGTACTTGTAGAAGGTGTGTGGAGGGTTCAATTGACCTAAGAGGAGTTCACAAGTGAGGAAGTTTGTTGATCAAATTGATTGTTAAGATATTTGTTTGTCTCTTTCCAAATTTGTGGTCATATTGCCTTTATTTGCTTATCAGAGATTCATTCTTTGGGCAACAATATTTAGTGTATTACTTGAACAAAGTTGGCAATAAATACTGTGTTATGTTATGAGATATTTTAGATTGTTGCTTCTTGGTAACAATTGTACACATTTAGTACACCATCAGATTTTTGTTTGCAACAATGCTGGGTTGCCTTTTATTCTGCTAGCTTCAACAAAATTACTGTTTATTTTTTCATCGAATTCCCAAGTAGTTGACTCTGTTAGTAAACTTTTGAGCTATATTTGATCTTGTCCAATTGTTTCTAAACAGTAGATTACGGGTCCCAAACCAAGGCCTAGTTTTAAACTGCTGAATATGTCATTATGAGCTTTGACAGTCCATTAGAGCCAAACTTGGTAGTTCAGATTTATTGACAATTGAAATCCTTAGACAATCATTTTGGACTATAACTATTATTGGCCTTGGTGGGTTTAACTTATTACTCTGTGGACCATACGGCTTGGCACTTTTAATTGATCAACTAGACAAGATTTAGTCAACATCCTGAGAAAATTTTGTCAACACTATAGTTTTGTGGAAGATCCATTTAGCTGCCGTCTCTAGAATAGATATTACGCTTATGGGGTATTGTTCTGTATTTAATCTGGATCTCTCCTCTGTTACACTTGCTCTCTAGTCAATTCATAGTATTTTCAGATTAGTTATTTCAGTCCCAAGTATCGGCCAGGTTGCCTGAATCTCATATATGATGTTGTCTCAGCATAATATGGTCCAATTTTGCCATCATAATGACCTAATTATCTTCTTGAATAAGATTTCTTTTAACTCCTTGTACTTCTAAAGTGGAAACTAACTCATAATCTGAGTTATGCTCGAACTACCAATAGCATGTAGAATAAAGCTTTCTCCATGGTTCATGACTATCAGTAAAACTGCAGTTTCCATTGGACACTTGTTTTGGTTATTACGATTGCACTGTTGCTCCTCCTAATCTTTGGTTGAGCATGTCACTGTGAATTTTATTTAGCTGATGTCATGTGGGTAGTTTTGAATAATTCAAATGGTTATTCAGAATCAAAGATATGCACATGAGGGGGAAGGAAACTATCAAGAGTATCAACTATCATACAGCTTAACAGCTAAAGTGGGTTGGATCAGAAATTGATTCTGTGCCTTAAACATGACAACTGTTGGTTTTGTTGTCTGATTCTCTTTTTTATTGTTTTTCATAACCAATAATGGGATAGTGGTTCTTTTTTTCTTCAAAAGTAGCTTTTAATAAGGTCATGTACTTTTCTGTTTTTCATTGCTTGGATTTGTAATTTGTACATTTTGGAATTTATTACTATGTGCCTTCTGTGCATAAAAGTTTCTGCAAGGAATGAGTATTACGAGTGACCTTTCACGTGGATATTACACTTTAAATGTTGCAGGGGCTATAAGCGTTTCTTCAGGAGAACTGCTTTGGAGACATCAGAGTATCTTAAAGATGATTGTCTTCTGGTTAATTGTAGCGTTGGTGTTGTTAGATCACGCACCGAAGGACCCAAGGTTTACACCATAGCAGTGCCACCACCTAATATAGCTCAGCATTTTGGACAGCTTTTAGAGAGTGGAAGGGGAACTGATATAAGTTTTGAAGTTGATGGTGAGATTTTCAATGCCCACAAGTTGGTACTTGCAGCTCGATCACCAGTGTTCAGGGCACAATTATTTGGTCCAATGAAAGACAGCAACACGCATTGCATAAAGATTGAAGATATGGAAGCTCCAGTTTTTAAGGTAGTGTAGTTTTAATATGATGTCAGGTTTTGCTACTATTTTACTTAGATGAACCTGATTTTCTAATTTAATCCTTGCCTCTTTTGTTTAAGCTCTTATAATTCTTTTTTTCTTCTAGAGATGGGAGTATATACTCTCTTGTTGCATCTCTATAACTTCCATTTCCAATAGTATCAGACTATCAGTTTACTTCACTTTGGTCTTGCCAGTTGCTTCTTGGGCTCGTAGCACGCCACTTTCTACTATAGTTACTTTTTGCAAGAAGGGAATACCTTCTGTTGTTGTTGCCAAATTTTCATTTGTTCATAGTAAAATTTTTCATAGAGCTTACCTTTACCACTAGCACCATAATGTATGGTTTCAGCCGAAATTGATTTATTGCTACATGCTGATGATGATCATTATGAATAAGGCATGAAGATTTTTTAAATTTTGATATGTAGATGGATTTTCTAAGGACACATAGATGGTTAACTGTGTGACTTCACTTTCTATAGGGAGCAAGGTTAAGAAGAAAAAAATTAACGACCAGTTTGTGTAATGAAAGTGAAACCTAAGCTTATCATCAACTGAAACAATATTATTAAATATGGAGGCTGGTGATTGGCTGTGCCCTTTTCTTTTGGTGCTAAGCCTTTTTTTTTCTGGTTTTATTTGACACAAGAAACACTAATCCTGATGGATGTTGAAGCAATAATATAATTATCTGCATTTCTATTTTTATTTATTTTCACGTACCATTGAGGATCCACTAAACCTGAGATTCTGCGACATTGCAATTACTCTCGACTACATACACATTATTGAACACTCAACGTAGGAAGATACCCTTAAATGAGTTCTGAATTAAAAAAAAATCAGTCCAAGAGCTTTCTACAACCCAAATGGGTTTGTGGAACTTACTTTTCATAATTTTGGGACTTATTGTTTATAATTTATCTTCCCAAAGGTCTAAAGTCAACACCCTTTATATTACACATTTTTGAAGTGTCTCTTTCACTTGATATTGGCTGGATAAAACACATGTTCATAATTGTAGGCATTTCATTCACAAGCTATTCTGCAGTCAGTTTAACTTGGATTATCATCTCTGACAGTGACATCCACTTTTTACTCCACCGTTATTGCTACTCTAATTCTATATGCTTCTCCATGTTGTTTAAGTTATCTAATGCCCAGCATGTCTTTGTCCAGAAAACATTGGAATCTCATATTAGGCAGTGACTGTGATGAACAGAAACAGCACAAGTTGTTTGGTAATATTGCTTGCAATAGTGAGCTTTCCGTTTCATAGAAATTTGTTATCTTTGAGCATGCCTGAGGGCTTGTTACATGGAATTCAATCTATAAGACGGGAAATTATTTGATAATGTTATCTATTTTTCCTATTACTATAATTTTCAGTAAGGAAAATGTGGAATTTGTTATTTTTAAAATCATTTATTGTGTATTGTAGCATAAGTGATATGCTTGCACATTATTATCATCATCATCAATTTAGCCCAAAAAAAATTGCTTATTCTTATTTTCAGGCTCTACTCCATTTCATATACTGGGATTCTCTACCTGACATGGAAGAATTTACTGGTCTGAATGCAAAGTGTGCTTCCACTTTGATGTCTCAACATTTG